GTAACTCACCTCATTATACATGGGGTCTCTTTTCAGTGAAGGTTGATACTGTTCGCACAATACTGTAAATACTGTTAGTTTTCCTCTAGAAAGGAAACAACCAAACATGTAATCTCAGTAACAACTGAAAAGGAAACCAAGAACAACATGAGAAAAATCAGACTGTACCCATCAACTGCCAGTAACAGAAACCAGATGAAGTTTAGCAGTGGCTGAACAAAGGGCGGACCCTTTTCTATTGAAGGATGTTTCTGCGTGTATGTCGTAAAAACAACTGATGCGCTGGTCTTATTTTTTAAGCAGAGAAATCTGCAAAAGGAAACAGAACAGGGCGAGTTAAAAATAAAAGGCAGAGAAGTAGTTTTACATGCAGAAAGAAAAAGGGAAGCCAAAAGCTCAACAATCTCAACTTCAGTTGTGCATAGAAGCCATCTCAGGATTAAATTGATGCCAAAACCTAACAGGTAGAGATGCATATCTTTGCTAATGGTTTGGCTGTCAACTGAGGAAGGGGAAAATCACTACTAGAATACATTGTGGAATAAGCAGGTTGGGAGAGAGAATTGACATTCAATATTAATAGAGTGAGTTTAACCAAGATCTAAGCAGATTGCATGTGGGACAGTTACTAAAAGAGGGCATCACTTAAATCAAAATGTGGAAAGACTGGTCACCACGTAATTCAGATTAACCATAATACCGCATTTGCTGGTCCACAGCTTACTATGCTGAGGTAAAAACTGAATTAAAGACCTCTCTCCTGGCCCCATCCACTCCCAAACACATCTCCTTTCAGTATGTATCTGCCAGCATCTAACAACTCTGCCATTCTTTTTCCACTACCTCAAAGTAATGCGGCATCAAGGACTGCTAATAAGTTTGACACACGTGTCTAAAAGTCTCATAATAAAGCTACACTCTGACCTCCCAAGCCCTTTGTCACCAGATCGATTTCCCAAATGGATCTTTGCTCTTTCCCAAATCTTTGCTCAGGTCCAGTTAATTCAACTGGCAGTCTCTGCAAGTCCCATAGGCCTAACAAGAGACTTCAACTGGGACAAATGCTGTCAGCAAGCACAGGGAAGGCTGCCACGAGCAGTCTCATTTTTGGTCACAGGCTGGCCTCCAACCCTGTACCTTCACACGCGCAAGGGCATTAGGCTCTTTTGCCTTACTGCTGAGCAAGGAACTGCAATTATTTTCATTAGAGTCTAAACTGCTGTGTAAGAGGATTTAGTACAGTATTTGAGATATAGGCCAGTAAAGGATGCAGTAGTCGTGCTGTATAAATACTGCAAAAATAATCTCTCTTACTCGTAACTTCTCCCCAAAATTTCCCCCCCCCTCCAGAACAAAGCCCCATAAAATAGTTTGAGAGTCCTGCATATACTGGATTTTTCATAAAGGATTTTCTACCACTCAAAATCACTGCAATCTGTATCAACCAGCTATGGAAAGCAGGACAAATCTGACATGACAGCTCCCTGCTGCCAAAAGAGAGACAGACTTGCTCTCACCTCCTCCCTCTCCCCCAACACCTACTCTCTCCCTGACTCCCTGCTGCACAGTCCTGTCTCTACCTCCTCCTCAGACTCCTCCATGCGCTGCTTCCCCTGACTGCAAGAGAGCCATCAGCTGATTAAACACAGTAAAATTGGCTTTGTC